GTTACTAATAATCTACCATAATATCATACAATTACATTACATTTGCATACATTAAAAAAGATAACATTTCTGCCTCTGAAGACCAGATAATCTACCTCACAGTTTGTATAACCAGCTAAGTGAAGTGCTTGGGGACCATGTGAATAAAGTGTGGTTTTGCTTGATAGTGTTTCTAGGATACAGTTTATAATAAAAGACCATGTGTATGAGGCACAATTCCCTCTTCACGCTTCTTTTTATCCAGGAGGGGTAGTAATTTTATTTAGATATGTACCATCAGCCAGTGCCTCTCCCCTGTGCTCATTCGGCTGCACACATTCGCAGTAGGCAGGCTGCAAGGCTCCCTCCGCCCTCTTGCCACTCTCCACCTGTTAATCCCTCATTAACGTGCAATTACAGAAATAAGTAAAGTTCTGGTTCCTTCCTACTTCTTTTCAGAGCCCAAGTTGTATTAGTCCCAGAGATAGGTTTATTTTATTGAAATGAATAATCGTATATGCTGTGCTACTAAGTATGTAAAATTGTCACTCGTGGAGGACCCATTTAATTTGTGGGACTGGGACATAATTGCAGACTGATTATGCCAAATGCCTTGAGCCTTCTTGTAAGCTATCCTCCATCCTCAGCTAGACAGAAAACTGTTAGGGGTAAAAGGATATCTTAGACTGGTTTATTTCGTCTCCTAACAGTCTTTTTCTGGTGCTGGGTTTAGGTAAGTGTGTTAAATCTGACTGATCAGTGTCTATAAATAGCCCCAGCCTTGAGCAACCTCTTGGCCATCTTTTGTAACCTAGCAGATCCAGATCTGTATGCTCAGGACCCAGAAAAGACAGCAAATAGTTTTGCTTTTGTTTTTTCCTGACATTTTTACTTCCTCGCACTCAAGTTGTAAAACTTCTTATGTTCCTTCTCTCTTGGGAATGCTGCAGTTATTCACCGACATCAGAAAAGAAACACTTGTGCAGAAAGAGCCCAGCAACCTGGGGATGCATTTTTAAGGATCTGTGGTTTTTTTCAGTGCACAATCTTAAGATACAATTACCATTTATTTTGGAGAATTGCTTTAAATTACTTTGATTTTCTGCGTTTTGATTTTAAAGCTCCTCTCTCACAATCTTGTTGCCAGGAATAGGGCGGTGATAGTTAGACCCAGTATCTTCACATGAGCTGTCTTCATACCCAAGATGCAGATGGGCTGTGGGAGGCTACAAAAACAGTTCTCCCTTTGTGGAATGCAAATCGAGTTTGGACAGTGCAAGAAGATGCTTTTCCCTGTCATGTTCTAGCTGTTCATCACAGGGAGAGTACGAGTTAGAAATACTATGTAGCTGGTCTTTATGGATTTATACACATTAGAAGGGACCCGTCAAGCATTCTAGCTGCCCATGCTGCTGTTATCTCCCTTCAGCTGTGTGTGTCAGTGCATTGCTTTAAAATAGGAAGATCCGGACTTCCTGTGGATTGTGCCACCAGCTATGTGATTATATTAATTCTGGAAAAGTGCAGCTTATTCAAGTGTTACAAGAAAATGTTTATGCTGCGTATTTTTCCCTGCTGTATAACTTAGCCATATGAGGAACTAGCCTGTAAAATTGAATGTATTTCTAATAAAGAAGGTAATGAAGAGGAGATACTCTCTGTGAGAGGGTGACATTTTGTTACTTCGCACCGTGGCAAAGTAGCATTGGCCAATACCAGGTAGGTTGTGTGCTGCAAAAGTTCCTGCTTATCTTTTGATCTGTCTTGTCGTAAATATGTTTAGGCAAAATATAAGGACTCATTTTATTAAGTGACTTCTAATTTGGGGCTCAGAGGTTGTGCACTGTAATGAAACAGTTCGATGAACAGTTGCCTGAGCTACAGCCACAGTATGTCACATTGCCTGGAAACACTGAGACAGGGGTTGTTCAGGTTTGGGGGTTTTTGTTTGTTTGTTGTTGTTGGGGTTTTTTGTTAATGACTCCAGCTACTGTTGTTTGATTTAGAAGCAGAAGCAGCTTCAACAGGGATAAGATGAAGTTCTCTGTTTGAAGTCCTCATACCAGGGCTGTCCTGAACTTGGTGCCCGTGCGAGGTGTGTAAGCGATACAGCCCTGAATGAAAGCAGACAGAATATACAGCTCCTCTGCGCGATCTGACGTACAGTAGCATGTCAGCTGGTAACAAGGCAGCTGCTGTCGGAGGTTTCTCAGCAAATTGTGGTTATTTGAGAGCTGCCCTAGAAAGGGATTTTCTATAAGGGGTTACACTGAAGTGTGTTAGCACAAGGAATAGGACTGCGAGTTGATAGAACAAGGGAAACACATCGCTTTGTGCTTCCCCAGAGTCTGAGGCTGGGGTCATTTCAGCTGGTGAGATGTTTCTCCTAAATCAATGTGGCTGTTTGTGCAGTGAGGTGCCAATGGGCGATGCTGGGAAGGAGTGGTTGAATCAGCTTCAAGTTCTGGCCATGGATCCTTACATCCCAGGTGATGTCGTGGCAACATTTTGACCTCTAGTAGAGACAAAGACATAATGATATTTTTTGCTTGTAAGCGGAAAGAGGAGGCATCTGTTTGGTATGTAAAGAAGGTGTGCATCTCTTTGGTCATGGCACAAATGTTGATATTACTCAAAGATCAAAGGCCGCATTACTTTGAATAACCTGAAATATATCAGTACTTCACGGCTGTCCCAAAAGACGTTACCTGGAGTAGCTTGATATTTTGAGTTAGAAAGCATCTTAGGAAGTCAGAGATAAAAAGTTCTGCTAGTGCATTCAGTGGGAGCTCTTTATCGTATGGTTTTGTATCTTCAACAGACTGTTAGAAAACGGCATTTGTGTCCTGAATGTTAAGACAATTTCATAATCATTATTAACCAGTACTATCATTATGAGCCTGCTTGGTTTAGCCCTCGGGTAACAAAGTTCACTGCTCCATCAAACTCTGTCATAATCAGCCTTATTATAAAAACATAATATTGTAACCTTCAAAGGCTCCCCGGGCTAGTGCTATAAAAACTGGGAATGAACCGAAGTAATCTGTAGGCTAGCAGCAGTTGCACGGGGAAAATCTAACCATTTTTATGCATGTAATGTACATGCTCTCTCCCCACCCTCTTCATGCTCTTCTCAACAGGACAAAAGCTATCCCTCAGACCCTTTTTGGAGCCAAATTAGCTCATCAAAGCAGAACAAGTTTATAACACAGTGTTCACTGCATATCAAATGCCCACTGCTTTGATTTCCATTCTTTGGAGTGCAGTTGCCATATTTTGAGTATTTCATTTCAAGGAGGAAAGCTATAAAGTGTTTCCCCCAAAGCAGCTGATTATTCAATAGCTAAAGATGTCAAGAATAATGAAATGAAAAGGGAGCTAGGCTGGGATAGTCTCTAGCAGGAAAATGCATCTCATTAGAAGGCATTCCCACCAGAGAAGTCTATGGTATTATATGCATGAATTCCTTTCTGCTGCTAAGTTGTTCGGGAAATTTTGGATGCGAACAGCATGCAGCCTCAGTGACAGTGCAGAGATGTGTACAAACAGTACTTGATTGTTGGCTCCCTGAATGGAGCCTCAGTGAGGCTGGAGGCAAATCAAAGGTCTGGCCTGGTTTCCGGCACTTGAGGAACGCGTTGTGCTGTACAATTGGAAACATTCACGTTATGAATATCACCTTGTAAGCCGTGTGGTAGGAGGCTGAGGGTAGCTGGCCTCCATGGGCTCGGGTCTTTGCTCAGCAGATGAACCTGCCCTTTGGTGTCTGATGATGGGGACAAGCTGTGCATGCTGTGATCCAAGGATCTTTCAGTTGAGTTTCCTGGCTATTCTGGAAGGAAAATCAGTCTCACTACACAAGATATTTGTATGTGAATTTATATATTCAAGGCTGTTTGCAAGAGTGCATTTGTGAAGTGACGATGGTGTTTTCTATAGGCAGACACACATTAGAAGTTTATTGATACTTTGGCATCAACAACAAAGACCAAATACGCTGACAAGAGGTGTAAGCACTCTCTCCCACCCTCGCCCAGTATCTTGGCTGGAATTAAGAGCATTTTGACTAGGCAGTGCGTTTTGAGGCAGAGGAAGGGGTTGTGTCAGCATGAAACACAGTGCTTGTTGTTACAGGATCACCACATTACCAATGATCCTTGCAGTGGTGTCTGAGACACCGCAGTATTTCCTTACACTTAGAAGAAGCAAAACGGCTTCCCGACAGAGAGCATTGTGTGGGAAGTGTGGGCAAATATCGGTCTGCTTGGAACGACAGCGAGTGGGTCACTGTCATCATTGATGCGGCTGTGGGTTTGAGGGGGGTTGTGCTGAGATGTGTGGTGGAGGACAGGGCCAGGGACACCGTCAGGCACTGAAGTGTATTGCTCTGTATTGTAAAATCACCTGAAAAATATTGCAGTATCTGCAGTATATATGACAGTAATAGTCCCCAAACTGCAGCTTGCAATAACCATACTGCAGCATATGTGCCCATCATTACAGAGTATCGGGACATTTTCTCCAATGGTAAAATCCATTTTCCTGGGCAGTTCAGTGTCAGAGTGAGCAGGACTTCTCCCTGTGCTATATCTGCCTAGCAAAAGGCGATGAAATACAGGAGGGCTAAGGGAGTCATATAAATTGAATGACTCCGTGGTTTTATGATATTCATATGAAAATAAAACAGGGCTGGATTGTCACTTGATGTAAATTGTCCTAGGGACATGGTACAATTTATATCAGCTGAGGTGCTGTTCCTTTTACTTGTCTAGCATGCATGCAGTGTGTGATAAAAGTCAAAATCGCAGTGATTAGTTTTCAATTCACCCACTTCTCTTATTACACAGATAAAGTGGTTGTTTTTTTTCCTTGGCATCCTTATGACAGTCCATGTTGTGAAGTAGATACTGGTAGAGAGCTGTAAGGTCTCACAACAACTTTGCAAGCAGACTTCTGTACCTACACTTTCTTCTTTCTATTTGTAAGCCTAATATTGACCAGCATTACTTGTACCCTGACAGGTCTGATTGTCCGAGAGGTAAGCATTGAGATTTCCCGCCAGCAAGTCGAGGAGCTCTTCGGGCCCGAAGATTACTGGTGCCAGTGCGTTGCCTGGAGCTCTGCAGGCACCACCAAGAGCCGGAAAGCCTACGTCCGCATTGCATGTGAGTGTCTTTGCTCTGCATGTTGAGTCGATGGTGTTTGGGTGAGGAAAAGTGGTCTCTGCCATTTGGGAGAGAATTTGTTTCTGACCAGTTAGGCTTTGTATTTTCTGCAGTTATCGATGCATACTAAAATTAAGGCCTTCAGGACATTTGTAAGAATTTCAGCTTATCCTGTTCTTAAAAGCAAAATCTCATTCTTCTCTTTTGTTTTGGAGGAAGGCATCAAAACCGGTACTTCTTGAGTACAATGGTTGTATGTCTCAAGAAAAGTGTCTGAAGCTAATGAGTAGGAATATTACCAAAGCAAGCTATAGGATGAGGTGACAGCTGTTCCTTTCATGGAATCACAGAATGGTTGAGGCTGGAAGGGACCTCTGGAGCTCATCTGGTCCAACCCCCTGCTCAAGCAGGGCCACCTAGAGCTAGTTGCCCAGGATTATGTCCAGATGGCTTTTGAATATCTCCAAGGAGGGAGACCCCACCACCTCTTTGGGCAACCTGTGCCAGTGCTCGGTCACCCTCACAGTGAAAAAGTGTTTGCTGATGTTCAGAGAGAACCTCCAGTGTTTTGGTTTGTGCCCATTGCCTTTGGTCCCATTGCTGGGCACCACAGAAAAGAGTCTGGCCCCATCCTGGTTGCACCTTCCCTTCAGATGTTGGTACACATGGATGAGATTCCCCTGAGCCTTCTCTTCTCTGGGCTGAACAGTGCCAACTCTCTCAGCCTTTTCTTGTAGCAGAGATGCTAGTCATCTGTGTAGCCCTTTGCTGGACTCTCTCCAGTATGTCTATGTCTATCATGTACTGAGGAGCCCAGAACAGGACCCAGTACTCCAGGTGTGGCCTCACCAGTGCTGAGCAGATGGGAAGGATCACCTCCCTCGACCTACTGGTAAGAATTTTTCTCTAATGCATCCCAGGATACCATTAGCTTTATTTACTTCAAGGACACATTGATGACTCATAGTCAACTTGGTGTCCACCAGTTTTGGTGGACAGCTTTCTGCAGAGCTGAAAATACTTATCTCTGCAATCATATAATAAAGCTGCTGTTCCTTAACAAAGTGTGTGTTTAGCATATCATGTAACCAGATTGGTAATACGAGTTTGAAAGTGGTCATCTCAATTCTAATACTTCATCATTGTTATTCATGGCTACTAACCTCAGTATTTATTTTGAACCATTCCCAGCTTAGACCCCGAGAACATAGGGCCACTGGTTCCCTGAAAACAGATCTTCTTCTGACTGTACAAATATTTAATATTCATTAATTTTCAAAGAGATGCTTTTCTTTGTAATAGAGTAGTCACACTGGGGACTTCCATTTCTCTTTCACATGATGAAATCCTGTTTTGTATAATGGGAACAAAATATATCTTCTGGAATTGTATCTCTTCCACTGTTTTCACCTCTGCAAAAAATAACGTTTTGTGAGAAAAGTTTGTTAGAAGCTGGGTTTGCAGTATACTTTTATTTCCTGCACTATGCCTAGCCATTTATGAGGAGAGAATTCGTCCAGCCAAATAAAACTTTTCACAGACAGTTAGAGGAAGGACTCTGTAGTTTAAAACTCTCTATTTAGAGCCTGAGTCTCCTTTTATTCTTGAGAAAGTATTAAGTGGTTAAATCCTTGAGGAGGAGTTACCTTCTGTGTAAACATCCAGATACGGATCTCGTAGGTTCAGTTTAAATACCTATTTTTGGATGCTTTTAATCCAAGTAACTAACTGGAAGTAGAGGACCTGTACTTTTGAGTACAGGACTAACTGCAGAGAAGAATTTCCCCAGGGTGAAGGGGAGTTAAAATTATTGTACAGACAGTCTTCCTACAAAATTAGAAACACCCTTGCATATGTGCATAGTGCTTTCCCGTGGCAGGAAGCTTTTCAAGACTTTGAGAATTTTCTTTTTCTGTACTGAAACAAAAGAGAGCAATTTCATTTTTTTTTCTTCTAAGCAGTCAGCACTTCAGAGAAGCTTAGCAATGTTTGAACAGGTTTTTTAGATTATCACCCCTAAGTTAACTCATGAAGTAGATTTTCATGTCCTGCCAGTTAGCTCTTGACAGATGACCATTAAATTAACACTGTTTAGAAGTCTGAGTGTATTTCACTTGATGGTTAAGTAATTTTTTGTACTGCCATACCTATGCACTTAATTTCTGTATAACACATAATCATTGTATGTGTAAGGAAGTTATTTTATATCAATTGATATTTCTTCCCAGGTGTTCAAATTTCAACTGAAGGCATTGATAATGTAGAGTTTGCTTGTTTTCCTTACCATATTTTGGAGAGAGAGGAACAATCAGTTCAGTGATTTTTCTAGAGTCTTGATGGATTTTTTAACCAGTCTAATTAAATAAATTCCAGGGACTTTTGTGTGTCTGTAACTCAAATGTGGCTGTGTATTTTACTGAAGTTTTTTTTAACCCCTAAATTTGGGGTTCTTGGGCAGCTGTGATGCAGCCAAATCACTTAGACTCCTTGGGATTAAGGGTTGAAGTATTAGGCCTTCAAACTGCAGAAGCAGCAACAAAATCATGTTCTCCACAAAATTGTCCATTTCCAATTTCACAGAATTCTATAAATTTCTTAGGTAACTCAGGACTATTTGTTTTGGAACTCAGACATATGATGTGGGGTGTATGCATTACTTTGTGATGTCATTTGACCACTGTTTTAAACTGTGGATTCACATATACCGATACTCGTCTGTATTCACAGCCTTGACTTCAGAGGACTAAATTTGTACTGGAAATATAATAGTTGTTTCCTAATAAATTTTAAACACAGCTGGTAAGTCTTCCGATGGTTACACAATGTGCCATGAGACTGGGATGCAAGGTAGGGACCATGCAGTATTTATTAATCCAGAAAAACAAGGATGTCCAAAATTAAAGATGGACAGAAGAATCCATCTCTCCAGCTCTGTCTGCAGCTATTGTTACATGTTTGTTGCTAATGCAGTCTTCACTTTTAACTGGTACAAAAAGAGAGCACTGACACCTTTGGGAAAGGTGAGGGGTAAATGGAGCATGTGAAGTGCTCTGCTTAAGTTATATTATTAGTTATCTTAGTACGTGAACCTGGTGATTTCATCTCGACAAGTACAACTGTAGCACAACTAGCCATACCTAGTACATTAAGAAAAGCTTCTCTCCTTCTCCCTCTCCCTGTTCCTCTCCTCCTCCTTATCCTCTTTCTCCTTCTCCTCCTTCTTTTCTCCTTCTCCTCTTTCTCTCTTTTCTCCCTTATGCCCACCAGTCTTATTCTGGAATTATTATGTCCTCTCAACGGCTGGAGCTGCACTCCATTAAAACAAACAAACAAAAAAAAAGCATGCAACATCTCTGTTCACTGAGCGTGTAATAGAATTAACTGAAAAGTAATTTGAAAGTGTGAAAAATGTGCACCTAGAAAAGCACCTTGTATTTGTTTAATGCAGGGTCAGGCATGTGTCAGAAAGTACATAACAGCCTAGGCAATGGAAGTTCTCTGTGCAAATCAATCGCAACATCGCTCCAGCCAAGCGCTTCAGTTATTCAGGAAGGGAGTAATCTATAAATACGGAGTGAAGATGCTGCTGGTTTTCAAAGACTGCCCATGCTAGCAATATAAACAGGAAAAGAGTCTGAGTCTAAAGCCAACATCCTGGCTTCTCTCAGTGTTTACGGCATTTAATGGCTTCTTGCCGTTGTGTTCCTGGACCACGAGTATGCTAGGAAATCACTCCCTTGGCTGTTTCTGAAAACGAGCTTTTTTTCTGTTTCACAGAATTACAGAATCACAGAATCACAGAATCACAGTCACCCTCAGAGGGAAGAAGTTCTTCCTCATGTTCAGACGGAACTTCCTGTGCCTCAGTTTGTGCCCATTGCCCCTTGTCCTGTCGCTGGACACCACTGAAAAGAGTCTGGCCCCATCCTCCTGACACCCACCCTTCAGATATTTATAAGCATTTATAAGGTCCCCTCGCAGCCTTTTCTTCTTCAGCCTGAACAAGCCCAGCTCCCTCAGCCTCTCCTCGTAGGAGAGATGTTCCAGTCCCCTCACCATCCTTGTAGTGGAATTCATCTTCCTGAGGTGTTGGTCTCCCCAGGAGAACAGAGCTGAGCATTTCATTCTCTTAAACTAGCAGATTTATTAGGATTAATTTTTGCTTTGCCTTTTTAGATATCTCAGTAACCAACAAAGCAGGGACACCTAATATATATATAAAATTTTCTGAGATATTAACCTGTGAAAGTGCTAAAACACATTTCCTATTTATTTACACATTTCATATTTATTCTAGTCACATCCTATCGGGATCACTAGGAGTCACTAATATATTTTCATACAGTTTTTCTGCTCAATTAAAAAATGTTACTTGTGTGGAGGGAGGGAGGGAGGAGGAGGGTTGGACAGATTTACCTTTGGCTAAAAAGTCCCAAGCCAAACGTAAACTTTCAATGTGAATTTTATGTAACAAGACTGAAAACATAACAGGGCAAAAATCCTGTTAAAAGGATGAATGGGGTTTGAGCTTATGTAACCAAGAGTAGAGTTACACCCACTGGAAAATACATCTGATAAAGACCAAACAATAGCTGCAGGATTTGACCTAATTTTTAGATCAGATAATAAAGAGGTGGCTAAGACAAATTGCTTTGAGCCCATGTGCATAGAGCAACCTCACTTTTCATTTGCTCCAGTTGGGTGTTGCTGTAGCCTCACTGACTTCATGATGTTAACCCATGCTGTCCTTGAGAAAATATAGTAAGAATATAAACCCTAAATCTGCTGCCAGGTTTTGGATTTGTTGAAAACCTTTAAGAAAATAGCAGCTTTCTCTGTAATTTCTGTTACCCGATATTTTTTGGTGTAATTAATGTGGATAGTCTCTTCTTTTCCTTTGTTCATTATTTTAAAATCAGAATTTTAAAAAAAAACCAGTTTCAAGAGCACTGATGTAGTGAGGAACTGCGGTTGTTAATATTTTGTATAATTTAATAGTA